TCTGGCAATTTAAAAATAAAAGAGCGGTTTTTTTCAAAAATTCATAACTTTTTTTGAGTCGGGAAAAAAAATTTGAAAAAATTCTGAAAAATAACTTTCGGGGGGTAGAAAAAGATAGAAAATTTTCAGTGAAATCAAAGGGGGTCAGGTAAAAAATTTGTCGATTTGACATGGAATGACCCATATACTCTTTATTTTGTTGTTTATACGTTATATAATATCTTGTTCTCTTTATTTCATATTATTTTTTATTTTTTTTTTGAGTAGATTTGTTTCGTAAGTAGTTAGTAAACAAATATCACGATGGGAATTATACTACTACCATATATACGTTTACTATAGTTTCCATTGTTAATTAAAAACGCATGCAGCATCTTGGTATTTATTTTATTATCTATTTGCACTAATCATCGGCTAAGAGAGAAAGTTTATTAACGTGTGAAAGTATGAATGAGAAAGAGAGAGAAAAGATGATTCTAGTTAGTTATGGTGAACATGAATACGGGTATGGGTGTGTGTAGTAAATGGGGATGCTGTTGCTAGCTTGGTTGGAAAGTTTTCTAAAAAGGGATAGATTGGGGGGCGGGGGCAGGGGTGGGGGTTGTGTTTTAAGCTCGCGCGTGTCTTTTCTTATTCGTGGGTGGATTTTGTGTGTTGCGGCCTGTGGAAAATGTGTATATTGCGAGTACAAGGGTAGTAGTAGTAGTAGGGCCTTTATATACGCGTTACTAAAATCTTAGAAGCCCTGTAAAGAGACGATCAAAAGGGCTTAAGGGAGCAGGGAAACCGATAGTGAAACGGCACGGCTAAGAGGCACGGGAAAAGCTTGCTTAGTATGCATTGGACTTGCAAAGTCACTTTTTAGGCGTTGCTCCAGAGAGCTGCCGCCCTTTCTCGCCTATTAATCGACTCGCATACTTACATATATTAATACCTATATATATATGTATGTGTGTGTTCTTTTTTTTGCGTTGTGAGAAGCAATAATAAAATTTAAGCTTTGTTTTATATATATTTTATTCCATGTTATATTTTTAATTAATTATAGTATTGTTTAATAACTATAATATACTTTTTGGATGCATATAATATATGCGTTTGGTAAAAGTTTCTAATAGAGAGTTGTTATTATTATATAATGTGTGTGTCGTTTGTGTATTGATTATTGTTTTAAGTCTTGTCACATGGGCCCCATTGCAATCGAAGGGTCAAATTTTGTACGATTTTTCTATTGTATTTTTTTTGATAAAACATTATAAAATAATTAAAAAAAGAAATAGGGATTATTATTCTCTAATTTCGTTTATTGCTTCTCATCGCATTGAAATTAATCTCAGAAATAATATTATGTGAAATTACTAATCGTTTACAAGTTCCTTTCTATCCACCGTTATCTTCGTTCGCGTTTGATTTTCTGATTTAATTTAATTCATTTATTTTTGATTTAATCTTGTTAACCCTTTGGCCTATAACCACGAGTCAGACTCGTGATGAAAAATTTGTGCCATAAGCGAAAACTACGAATCTAACTCGTGGTAAAGAATTTGTGCCATAAACAAAAGCCACGAGTCTGACTCGTGGTAAAGAATTTGTGCCATAAACAAAAGCCACGAGTCAGGCTCGTGGTGAGGAATCGGTGCATAAGATGCCGCGTATTATTCGAACAAGCGATTGGATTTATTCCACATCCAATACTTTTTCTTTGATTGAAAAAAAAAACCATCAATGATCATCATGATTTTTTTTTTTCATTCACTTAACTAAGTATTCATTTATAAATTGCTATTGATTCATTATTTTAAAATAATAAATTATTTTTGTCAACTGATTAATTGATTATGATTGCACCCTATACGTCTAAAAATTACTATTTGTACCTACACATTGTTTATTATTTAACAACTCCTTTCATTGCTCTGAAAAACATATGTCATGAAAGTTACACATTTTGCGCCAGTTCAAGTACGCGGCTGAACAGATGAATGGCATGGCGCGCGACCGATTCTCTTGTTTATTATGGCACGCACAATTGGCAGATATCGTGTAGGCCAAGGGGTTAAATTATACATTGACGTAAAAATAATAACGATATATAGAGGAGAAATAATATAATCGTAAGATATTCGTTTCTTCGGGACGTGTAATTTTCTTACTGTCACAAAAACGAACGAACAATTGGATTGGCGAAACGTTGACTCGTTTGACCGTGAAATTCGCGAAAAAGGAATTTGAACCTGGAAAACGGGGGATAGTAGAGTTCTGTCGATTGAACATCTACGATACCCGTTGACTCTACTTGTCGATAAATCTCTGTATTGTACGTAAAATAAACAACGGGAAAAGAAACAAAAACGAAACGGGATCTTTGTCGTTCGTCACAATCACGAAGCCTATATAAACGGAGCTATATACAAGGAGGACGATCGAGATAGGCGTTTGCGTCGAATTTGTGTTGTTGAAAATGACTAAATACCGAGTACGATAATTATCCGCGAGGGCGGCGGTAATGTTCTTAAGTTTGATTTAAGTACGTGTGATTTTATAAATAAACAAATGAAATTAATCGTTCTCTTTGATGTTTTTGTTTTAATTACGAAGCTTCGTTGTTTTAATCACGAAGCCTTAATTTTTGTACAAATGTGAATTGTAATTGAATTTTTTGTTTAAGATGGTGAAATATTGTGTTGTGGTGGATTGCATTAACAGTAAAGAAAACAAGTCAGATCCAGCGAATTGACGCGCTCTCTAGTGGCAATAGAAATCGTCCTTTCATTGTGAATATTGTAGCCACATTTATAACACAGCGATCGTCTTCCTTGTATATACACAATGAGAGGATTATTTCTATTGCCACTAGAGTGCGCGTCGATTCGTTGGATCTGATTTTTCAAATATGAATAAACCTAGCCTTTAACTTAGGAAAAAAATAAATAAATAAGTCGACGAAGTAAATAAACAATTATAAACTAGAGAAAATGTGAAATAATTGGTTATGATATCACAAAGTCAAGAAAAAATAACAATAGCATGAAAAAAATGTCAATAAATCATCCTATATATCTGTAAAAAAAATTGTTAAATGGAATCAATTTATCTTTAACTCAATTAGTATAAAAATGGAATAATACTGCATGTAAAATGTAATTGCTAGTTACCCTAGATAGTTAACCTCAAAATCAACAATATAAAATAACCTGTTGACCTGTAAGAAAATTAATCCTAATTCTTGATTAATCCTTAATTAAATTAAGGTTTCGTGATTAAAACAAAAACATCAAAGAGAACTATTTGTTTCATTTGTTTATTTATAAAATCACACGTACTTAAATCTGAACTTTTAAACACCAGCGCCGCCCTCGTGGAGAATTATTGTACTCGGTATTTAGTCATTTTCAACAACACTAATTCGATGAAAACACGTATCTCGATCGTCCTTCTTGTATATAAGCTTCGTTGTCGCGATTCTCATTGAATAATCGAATTTTATTTAATTTCTTTTTTTTTATAACTTATTTCTCTTTGTGCAACTTTGTCGTACTAGCAGCAGCAGCAACAGCAACAAATGGTACGTTGCTAATTTATTTATTCGTCGTATAATGAAAACGTTGTTAAAATATAGAATTGCAAGAAAGATCAGAACTCGAAGAGTAATTTTTAATTTTGTGTAACAAGAACGACTCCAAATGAAGCAACTAAAATGCATGATTCCTCTATCCT